GATTTCCCTGCTGCAATATCAATATTCTCAACATGGCCATGTTCCTGTATGATCTTTTCTTTCTTTCGGTTTTTTTATACCAAGTTTCCGGAGAGCCGTAGTTGCAGTCTTCTTCATCATGCTACTGGAACTAATTCTCATCCAATTGAACCGAGAAAACTAAAAGACACTCACGATCAAAATTTATGGACAGAAATACTGCTGTAGCTGTTGAAGACGCAAAAATTATCCAGCTGCATGTGCCCAGTCAATTTAATGTGTCAAAAAAAATAAGGTTTCGGAGACTGGTCTACCTACATGACTTGCATGTCAAGATCTGCGTGCTACGTCTTTTTAGAATATATAATTTTTGGATGAAGGGGACGCCAAGCGGGCTTTCTGTAAAACCGACCCTCCCGCTCCCGTGGGAACATCGATATCGGCATAGGGCCGGAAACTACGTTCTGCAAGCCCGTGAAGAAACGGGAAGTGCTGAATGTTTGCATCTGTTCCTCAGGTATCTAAATAGATAATGAGTTCCCTACTGCAATATCAATATTCTCAACATGGCCATGTTCCTGTGTGATTTTTTCTTTCTTTCGGTCTTGTATACCAAGTTTCCGTAGAGCTAATTACATTTTTCTTCATCATGCTATTGGAGCTAACTCTTATCTAATTGAACCAAGAAAAACAACAGACACTCACGATCAAAATTATGGACAGAAACACTGATGTAGCTGTTGAAGACGCAAAAATTATCCAGCTGCATGTGCCCAGTCAATTTGAAATGTCAAAAAAAATAAAGTTTTGGAGAATACAGAGACTAGGTCGACCTGCATGACTTGCATGTCAAGATCTGCGTGCTACGTCTTTTAGAATATAATTTGTGGATGGATCAAAGGGACGCCAAGCGGGATTTCCGTGAAATCGACCTTCCCGCTCTTGTGGGAACATCTATATCGCCATAGGGCCGGAAACTATGTTACTGCTAAGCCCGTGAAGAATGTATGGGGACTGCCTAGGTGTACCACTGCGTCTGTTCCTCAGGCATTTGAATAGATGTTGGTTTCCCTGCTGCAGTCGATCACATTCATTTTCCATCCCTGGCTCCCTTTTTTAGATCGTTCGATCTGTACCGATCGATTTGTAGGCCGTTCAATTCCTTTCAGTGTTTTGCCTCCCTCAACGCTACTTAGTTTGCGCCGTGCGCCATGGGTAGAGAGAGCATGTAATTGCGGTACGTTTCTTAGGCATCATGCTACTGGATTTCGTCTGTTTCCTGTGTGTAGTCCGCCACCCTGCTGCTTGCTCAATTTGCGGCAGATCTTTGAGCCTTGAGGACGCGGATTCTTTGTTTGCCTCATTCCTTGTTTTTCTTCATTTTTTTTCCGTGTCCTCAAGGATCTGGGTACGAGATTACCATCTCTGATGGAATCAGATGGATACGATACATATGAAGTACCGGTAAGTCTTCCAGCACACTCTGCACTGCTCTATCGGGTCAATTAAGGATACAATGATGTGTTCTGAGCTGAGTTTAGAGTTAAGTTTAGAGTCAACTGTTACCAAGTACGTTGATTGGAGTGGGTATACTTAGTTGGACAAAGTGGATTTGGATTGGTCCCCTCTAAAAGATTGAACAGATATCAATTAAAAGTTGTTAAATAATCCATAGTATCAACGACTACGTAGTACACACAGAAGTAATTATTCACGTATAAAATGGAATGGTATGTTGTCCGTTTTCCAAAAAGATAATATGAGCATGAGTGCATCAAGAGGGAATCGAATCCCCGGTGGGTCGAAGCTCAGTTATAAATGGGACGGACACATACATGGCAACGACCCAGGTTACCACTACCCCATTGATGCGTACGTTAACAAGATGTTAGATGATGAACAAATGTTCGGTTTTTGTCCAGTCGATCACGTTCAGTATTCGATATTCAAATTCCTTTTTCCATCCATCCCTTTTTGGAACGATCGGACCGATCGTAAGCAGGCCGTCAATTACTTTAGCGTTTGGCCGACTTCAACCCCAATCTAGGGAGCGTATGCCATGACTTGAGCCGTAGAGTAGAGAGAATGAGAAAACGGGACATGTCGAAAGCAGATGCGACTGACGTGACCCATGTAGTCCGCCACCCCTCCTGCTGCTCGCTGCTCAATTTGCCCCAGATAATTGAGGACGCGGATTTTTGTCTCATTGCTTGTATTTTCGCTTTCTCTATTTATTCCCCGTGTCCTCAATGATCTGGGTACGAGACTACCATCTCTGATGAAATCAGATGGATACGATACATACGAGGTGAGGTCTTCCAGCACACTCTGCACTGCTCTATCAGTTCAATCACGGATACGAACTTTGATGTGTTTTATACACTGCAGTTCTGAGATGAGCTTAGAAGTTAGAGTGACTGTTACCAAGTACCGTTGATTGGTGTGGGTACAAATTGGGACAAAGTGAAATTGACTCTCCCTCAAAGTTCCGCACAGGAAAAAAGATTAAAAAGAGCCTTGTGTATGTAGTCCGTTCTCTAAAATCTTATCAAAGAAGGGTTGGATGCATCAAGAGGGAATCGAACCCCCGGCGGGTCGAAGCTCAATGGGACACAATGTCGATGGCAACGACCCAGGTTACCACTACCCCATTGATGCGTACGTTAAATGGCAGTAGATGGATGTTGGTTTTAATTTGTCCAGTCGATCACATTCATTTTTCATCCCTCCCTCCCTTTTTGGATCGATCGATCGTACCGTTAATATAAGCAGGCTGTCAACTACTTTAGCGTTTGACGCCCTCAATCTTAATCTAGGGGCATGCGCCATGACTTGAAGTCCAGAGGCCGTAGAGTAGAAAGAGAATGAAAAGACGGGGACGTGTGTCTGATGTCAAAGGGCAGATGCGACTGACGTGGCCTGTGGCTGTGCGTAGTTCCGCCCCCTTGCTGCTCAACTTGCACCAGATCTTCGAGGACGCGGATTTTTGTTTGTCTATTGCTTTTTTTTGGTTCTCTTTATTTTTCCCCCGTGTTCTCAAGGATTTGGGTACGAAAATTACCATCTCTGATCAATGATGGAATCAGATGGATACTACAACATATGGAGTGAAATCTTCCAGCACACTCTGCACTGCTCTATCGGGTCAATCACGGATACAATGATGTGTTTATAACACTTCAGTTCTGAGCCATGAGCTTAGAGTGCACTGTTTACCAAGTACCGTTGATTAGTGTGGGTACAAGTTGGGACAAAGTGAATTGACCTCGTCAAAGTTCCGCACAGGAAAAAAGATTGAAAAGAGCCTTATGTATGTTGTCCGTTTCTAAAATATTGTGTAAACTCCAACATACGAGTGCATCAAGAGGGAATCGAACCCCCGGCGGGTCGAAGCTCATTTATTCAAACATACCCTATGGCAACGACCCAGGTTACCTCTACCCCATTGATGCGTGCATGAACATGAAGTACATGTAGATTATAATCGTGAACAAATGTTAGCTTTGTCCAGTCGATCCGGTTCAGTATTCATGAATTCCTATTCAAATTCCTTTTTCCATCCCTCCCTTTTGGAACGATCGGACCACATCAATATAAGCAGACTTAGTCGTTCTGGTCGCCCTCAACTCTAATCTAGGGGGCATGCGCCATGATTTGAGGTCCAGAGGCCGTAGAGTAGAGAGAATGAAAAGATGGGACGCGTGTCAAAGGACTGACGTGACCCAGCTGTGGCTTGAGTTTAGTCCGCCACCCTGCTGCTCGCTGCTCAATTTGCGCCAGATCATATCTTTGAGGCGCGGATTATTGTTTGTCTCATTGCTTGTTTTTCTTTAGCTTTCCCTGTGTCCTCAAGGATTTAGGTACGAGATTACCGTCTCTGATCAATGATGAAATCAGATGGACACTACAACATCTGGGGTGAAATCTTCCAGCACACTCTGCACTGCTAGCGCTCTATCAGCTTAATCACGGATACAATGATGTGTTTTATACACTGCAGTTCTGAGCTGAGGTTAGAGTGACTGTTACCAAGTACGTTGATTGGAGTGGGTATACTTAGTTGGGACAAATTGGATTTGGATTGACCTCCCTCAAAAAGATTGAACAGAAGTTATGTGAAAGTGATCAAATAATCCATAGTATCAACGACTACGTAGTACTACACACAGAAGTAATTATTCACGTATAAAAGGGAATGTATGTTGTCCGTTTTCCAAAAGTGAAGTCTGCTTGCATTAGGGAATGCATCAAGAGGGAATCGAACCCTCGGCGGGTCGAAGCTCAGTTATAGATGGGACAGTCATGAACATGGCAACGACCCAGGTTACCACTACCCCATTGATGCGTGCATTAACAGAGTGTTAGATGATCAACTTCAACAAATGTTCGGTTTTGTCCAGTCGATCACGTTCAGTATTCGATATTCAAATTCCTTTTTCCATCCCTCCCTTTTTGCAATGATCGGACCCATCGTACCGTTAATACAGGCTTAGCGTTTGGAGCCCTCAACCTTAATCTAGCCGGGGGCATGCGCCATGATTTGAGGTCCAGAGGCCGTAGAGTAGAGAGAGAATGAAAAGACGGGGACGTGTCGAAAGCAGATGGGACTGACGTGACCCGGCTGTGGCCTGTGTGTAGTCCGCCACCCTGCTGCTCGCTGCCCAATTTGCGCCAGATCATATCTTTGAGGCGCGGATTCTTGTTTGTCTCATTGCTTGTTTTTCTTTATCTTTCCCTGGGTCCTCAAGGATTTGGGTACGAGATTACCATTTCTGATCATTGAAGTCTTCCAACACTCTGCACTACTCTATCAGGTCAATCAAGGATACAATGATCGTGTGTATAACACTGCAGTTCTGAGCTGAGTTTAGAGTGCACTGTTACCAAGTACCGTTGATTAGTGTGGGTACAAGTTGTGTGACAAAGTGAATCGACCTCGTCAAAGTTCCGCACAGGATTAAAAAGATCGAAAAAAGTCTTATGTATGATGTCCGTTTTCTAAAACTTTGGAATGATTTGAGTGCATCAAGAGGGAATCGAACCCCCGGCGGGTCGAGTCTTGGGATGCAATGTCCATGGCTCAACTACCCAGGTTACCACTACCCCATTGATGCATGCATTCAGCAGGCTGTAAGTAGTACTAGATGATGAACAGATGTTCGGTTTTTGTCCAGTTGATCAACATTTCCATCCCTTTTTGGAATGATCGATCGGACTGATCGGTAAGCAGGCCGTCAATTACTTTAGCATTTGGCCGCCCTCAACCCCCAATCTAGGGGGCATGCGCCATGACTTGAGGTCCAGAGGCCGAAGAGTAGAGTCTGAAAAGACGGGGACGTGTCAAAGGGCAGATGAGATGCGACTGATGTGTGGTCCGTGGCCTGTGTGTAGTCCTCCTGCTGCTCAATTTACATCCATTGCTTGTCTTTTGATTTTTTCCCCGTGTCCTCAAGGATCTGAGTACGAGACTACCATCTCTGATGGAATCAGATGGATACTACAACATATGGAGTGAAATCTTTCGAGCACCCTGCACTGCACTATCGGTTCAATCACGGATACAAATGATGTATTTTATACACTGCAGTTCTGAGTTGAGGTTAGAGTGCACTGTTACCAAGTACGTTGATTGGAGTGGGAATATGTAATTACTTTTGGGTAGGTAGTCGTTGATACATTGGATTATTTGACCACTTTTACAAAAGAGCTGTTCAATCTTTTTGAAGGGAGGGTCAATCCAAATCCACTTTGTCACGTATAAAGAGTATGTATGTTGTCCGTTTTCCAAAAATACGATGAAGGAATCGCACTGATGCATCAAGAGGGAATCGAACCCCCGGCGGGTCGAAGCTCAGTTATCAATGGCACGATGCTACGCATGGCAACGACCCAGGTTACCACTACCCCATTGATGCGTGCATAAACAGTCAGTAAGGTCATGATGTGAACTTGTACGGTCGATCACGCCGTTCAGTATTCAAATCTCCCCTTTTTGGAACGATCGGTCCGATCGTACCGTTTAATAGGCCGTCAATTCAATTATCGTTTGACGCCCTTAACCCTAATCTAGGGGGCCAAGGCGAAGTGGGGGATGTATTTGAAATACATTTTATAGCCCTTTTCTCGTTTTGACGTGACAGATTTTTTCCTTCCTCCTCCTTGTTGTTCCCCTTCCTCTTCCTCCAGTTTCTCCTTTCACACATACGCTTAGAGCACCGTGGTATAAACCCAAAAACCGAACTAGTCCAAACCAAGAAAAAAAGGTTAAATAGAGAAAGACTAGAGAGAAAATGTCTACTACCGAATCCACCACCACCTCCACTGGTACCTCCTCTCCCCCCTCTCCCCCAACAACCCACCCTTCTCACAACAGCAACGGCTCCGCCAATCCCAATCCCAATCCCAATCCCGCCCTTCTTACTCCACCCGCAGAACCTCTCAACCCCGCTCCGTTCGACAAGCTCCCATACAAACTAGACCCGAACTGGAAGCCCGAACCCGGCCACGTAGGTAATCTAACGGAGGAACAGCAAAAGGCGTTGGACGAGTTGAAGGAGGAGATTAAGAAGGCTGGGGCGTGGGTTGAGGAGAGGATGGATGATGCGATGGTGTTGAGGTACGCGTGTCCCTTTTGATGCGAGTGTTTTTGGCGGTTTTTGTGTTTTGGCTTTTGGTCGTTTCGTCGGTTATTCTTATCCACCTCGCCTTTTTTGCATGTTCTGTTAAACGCTTCTCCCTTCCATCACCCTTTTTTTCGCTTTTTTCGCTTTGTCTCTCCAAGATATAACGAGCCCTAACACGTTATCCATCACCACTCTAGGTTCCTAAGAGCCCGAAAATGGAACGTCGCCAACGCCAAGACGATGTTACTCTCCGCCGAGCAATGGAGGAAAGATTTCGGTGTTGACGAAATCATGAAGTACGTCTCTGTTACGTTTTTTCTTTGTTCACTGCCTCCCCCTCTGACTTTCTCAATCGTTTTCCTTTCCTTCTTCCGACTCTTTCCCTCAACACTCTTTACTCCTAACTCGATAATCACTTTTGCTTCCGTTTTTGTATACCCTCTCAAAAAACTCTCAATCCACTCCCAACCCTTCCACAGATCGTTCGACTTTAAGGAGAAGGAAGAAGTGGACAAGTATTATCCTCAGTTCTATCACAAGACGGATGCCGTATGGTTCTTTTTCCTTTCTTTCTTTTTTTTTTTTTTTGCTTCCATCATTGTCTTGTTCGTGTGTGTCCGCAGCAGCTAATAATCCCTCTCTCTCTTTTTCTCCCGCTTCCTTGTTCCTGGCCCACCCCTCTTCTGCACCCTGCGACCTCCTGAACAACAAACCCATACTCCACTTCCCGGCCCTGGGGACGCCTGCCCTGGGGCGCGTTTGCCTATTCATAACATGAGCCGAAGACAAACAAATGATTGGGGACGAAATGTCGATGGCAACGACCCAGGTTACCTCTACCCCATTGATGCGTGCATGAACATGAAGTAGATTATAATCGTGAACAAATGTTGGTTTTGTACGGTCGATAACTTCCCTTTTTGGAACGATCGGACCGATCGTAAGCAGGCCGTCAATTACTTTAGCGTTTGGCACCCTCAACCCCAATATCTAGGGGGTGTGTACCATGACTTGAGGTCCAGAGGCCGTAGAGTAGAATCTGAAAAGACGGGACATGTCGAAAGCAGATGGGACTGATGTGGTCTGTGGCCTGTGTGTTAGTCCGCCACCCTGCTGCGAGTTGCGGCTCAATTTGCACCAGATCCTTGAGGACGCGGATTCTTGTTTGTCTCATTGCTTGTTTTTTTTGTCTTTCTTTATCTTTCTCTGTGTCCTCAAGGATCTGAGTACGAGACTACCATCTCTGATAGAATCAGATGGATACGATACATATGAGGTGAAGTCTTCCGAGCACCCTGCACTGCTCTATCAGCTCAATCACGGATACAATGATGTGTTTATAACACTGCAGTGCAGTTCTGAGCCATGAGTTTAGAGTGACTGTTACCAAGTACCGTTGATTGGTGTGGGTACAAGTTGGGACAAAGTGAAAGCGACCCCGTCAAAGTTCCGCACAGGAAAAGATTGAATAGAGCTTTATGTACGTTGTCCGTTTTCAAAAATATTGTGAAAATCAATGAAAGACTGATTCATGCATCAAGAGAGGAATCGAACCCCCGGCGGGTCGAAGCTCACTTGTTTTACTGCTAAGCGAAAATGTATGGCAACGACCCAGGTTACCACTGCGTACGTTAAACAGGCAGTAGATAGATGTTGGTTTTGTCCAGTCGATCACATTCATTTTCCATCCCTCCCTCCCTTTTTAGATCGATCGATCGGTACCGATCGATAAGTAGGCCGTTCAATTACTTTAGCGTTTGGCCGCCCTCAACGCTACTTAATCTGCGCCGTGCGCCATGGGTAGAGAGAGCATGAAAAAACGGGACGTGTCAAAGGCAGATGCGACTGATGTCGTCTGTGGCCTGTGTGTAGTCCGCCACCCTGCTGCTCGCTGCTCAATTTGCGGCAGATCTTTGAGCCTTGAGGACGCGGATTCTTTGTTTGCCTCATTCCTTGTTTTTCTTCATTTTTTCCCCGTGTCCTCAAGGATCTGGGTACGAGATTACCATCTCTGATGGAATCAGATGGATACGATACATATGAAGTACCGGTAAGTCTTCCAGCACACTCTGCACTGCTCTATCGGGTCAATCAAGGATACAATGATGTGTTCTGAGCTGAGTTTAGAGTTAAGTTTAGAGTCAACTGTTACCAAGTACGTTGATTGGAGTGGGTATACTTAGTTGGACAAAGTGGATTTGGATTGGTCCCCTCTAAAAAGATTGAACAGATATCAATTAAAAGTGGTCAAATAATCCATAGTATCAACGACTACGTAGTACACACAGAAGTAATTATTCACGTATAAAATGGAATGGTATGTTGTCCGTTTTCCAAAAAGATAATATGAGCATGAGTGCATCAAGAGGGAATCGAATCCCCGGTGGGTCGAAGCTCAGTTATAAATGGGACGGACACATACATGGCAACGACCCAGGTTACCACTACCCCATTGATGCGTACGTTAACAAGATGTTAGATGATGAACAAATGTTCGGTTTTTGTCCAGTCGATCACGTTCAGTATTCGATATTCAAATTCCTTTTTCCATCCATCCCTTTTTGGAACGATCGGACCGATCGTAAGCAGGCCGTCAATTACTTTAGCGTTTGGCCGACTTCAACCCCAATCTAGGGAGCGTATGCCATGACTTGAGCCGTAGAGTAGAGAGAATGAGAAAACGGGACATGTCGAAAGCAGATGCGACTGACGTGACCCAGCTGTTGCCTGTGTGTAGTCCGCCACCCCTCCTGCTGCTCGCTGCTCAATTTGCCCCAGATAATTGAGGACGCGGATTTTTGTCTCATTGCTTGTATTTTCGCTTTCTCTATTTATTCCCCGTGTCCTCAATGATCTGGGTACGAGACTACCATCTCTGATGAAATCAGATGGATACGATACATACGAGGTGAGGTCTTCCAGCACACTCTGCACTGCTCTATCAGTTCAATCACGGATACGAACTTTGATGTGTTTTATACACTGCAGTTCTGAGATGAGCTTAGAAGTTAGAGTGACTGTTACCAAGTACCGTTGATTGGTGTGGGTACAAATTGGGACAAAGTGAAATTGACTCTCCCTCAAAGTTCCGCACAGGAAAAAAGATTAAAAAGAGCCTTGTGTATGTAGTCCGTTCTCTAAAATCTTATCAAAGAAGGGTTGGATGCATCAAGAGGGAATCGAACCCCCGGCGGGTCGAAGCTCAATGGGACACAATGTCGATGGCAACGACCCAGGTTACCACTACCCCATTGATGCGTACGTTAAATGGCAGTAGATGGATGTTGGTTTTAATTTGTCCAGTCGATCACATTCATTTTTCATCCCTCCCTCCCTTTTTGGATCGATCGATCGTACCGTTAATATAAGCAGGCTGTCAACTACTTTAGCGTTTGACGCCCTCAATCTTAATCTAGGGGCATGCGCCATGACTTGAAGTCCAGAGGCCGTAGAGTAGAAAGAGAATGAAAAGACGGGGACGTGTGTCTGAT